GTTTTGTGAGTCTCGAAGAAGTGCGATTGTGATATAATGCACCCTCAACAAATGAACCTTTTTTTGTTGGTCTTTTCAACCCAAATGGCTAGTTTGGCGAATCTTTCCTCCCTAAAGGATTTCTCATTTAGACGAGCTGTGAGAAGGGCTGGTCAAATTCAGCCATCCTAAAGTAACGAAAAAGGCTTTGTCTCTTGTGGTCTCTAAAAGTTAAACCCTCGTCCCTCTAAACTTGTTGTCGATCTCAATAGAATACGTGTTTCTTTCGATGTTGGTAATTTTCTTCTCCTCGAGAGAAGGTATTGCCATGGCAGGTGTTATTAAAGGGTGTGCATGATAGCTTTTGTCATGATTCTGGCAAGGGCGGGTTAGGTTCGTGGGGAATTGAGAAAAACATGTAGAACGAGATATAACGTACAAAACCAATGAAAATTTTGCTTAGTTCAAACAAAGAAACACTAAAAAAAGCACACCTGCAAATCCACAGCTCTATGTGCTTGGCCATACCACTCCTCGTATTCGGATGGATCTTGCAAGCGAAAGTCCTAGAGAATCATCGAGTACAATTCACGGGAACAATTCATCATTTCAACCTCAGAAAGTAAGAGCCCCAAGTGCTTAAAATACTATAAAGTACTTAAACATTAAACATACAGCTGAAAGATCGACAATCTTTAATTCCTTGGGAAGGGCTTTAATAACTTCCTGGAGAAAGAAAAATACAAACCAATGCGACTTAAAAGGAGAAAAGCCTATGTAACCTTCATGATATTTAGGGGTATCTCATAAGTAATCGATCAAAAACTGCAATTCGATGCTCACCTGCGTTGTCCCATGCGGCAAGCAGCAAAATATAGCATCGACCTCCGAGAAATCAGCATCTTTGATCGCTACTAATTCTGGAAGATCCTATAAACAGCAAGGAGTTAAGCTAACATAACTCCGACGCGAACTATTAATACGAAACCTTCAAAAGGTCCATCTCCAGAACTTACTCTAAGAAACATAACAAAACTGACCACGATCGACATTAAATAGAATCGGGTTAGTAAGAGAGTCATACTTGTGTGATTAGATGAGGAAATACTGATGAAAACGGCTGACCAGCTTTCCTATCAGCTGTCATGAGAGTAATGCCAAAGTGTGGATGATTTGCTAGAAGCCTAACAATCTACAAAGAACAAAAGGGATCATTCCTTAAGTGGAAAAGAGTACAGGAAATATAAGATTTCAAGCTTTTATGTCCCATCATTCCAAATGCCCGCTCTTGCCGTTAGACAAGCAAGAAAATTTTGTAACAGCTCAAACCCACCGCTAGTAGATATTGTCCTCTTTGAGCTTTGCCTTTTGGACTTCCTTTCAAGGTTTTAAAACGTGTCTGCTAGGGAGAGGTTTCCACACCCTTATAAGGAATGCTTCGTTTCCCTCTGAGTTTTTCCTTTTAGGCTTCCCCTCAAGGTTTTAAAACGCGTCTACTGGAGAGAGGTTTCCACACACTTATAAAGAATGCTTTGTTTCCTTCTAAGCGTTCCCTTCTGAGCTTTCCCTCAAGATTTTAAAACGCGTACACTAGGGAGAGGTTTCCACACCCTTATAAGAAATGCTTCGTTTCCCTTTAACCTTTCCCTTTTGGGCTTCCCCTCAAGGTTTTAAAATGCGTCTACTAGGAAGAGGTTTCCACACCCTTATAAGAAATGCTTCGTTTCCCTCTGACCTTTCCCTTTTGGGCCTCCCCTCAAGGTTTTAAAACGATTCTACCAGGGAGAGGTTTCCACACCCTTATAAGAAATGTTTTGTTTCCCTCTGACCTTTCCCTTTTGGGTTTCCCCTCGAGGTTTTGACACGCATCTACTGGAAAGAGGTTTCTACACCCTTATAAGGAATGCTTCGTTTCCCTCCGAGCTTTCCCTTTTGGGCTTCCCCTCAAGGTTTTAAACGCGTCTACTAGAGAGAGGTTTCCACACCCTTATAAGGAATGCTTCGTTTCCCTCTAACCTTTCCCTTTTGGGCTTCCCCTCAAGGTTTTAAAACGCATCTACTGGGAAGAGGTTTCCACATCCTTATAAGAAATGCTTTGTTTCCATCTGAGCTTTCTCTTTTGGGCTTCCCCTCAAGGTTTTAAAACTCGTCTACCAGAGAGAGGTTTCCACGCCCTTACAAGAAATGCTTCGTTTCACTCTCCAACCGACATGGGATCTCACAAATTTCTTCTAGAAGTAAAGACTTAAGTTTCAAGCTGGAAAAGAACTACCTCTGAACCAGTATAGCCACTGGCTCCAAGAACACCAATGCGAACTTCCGGCTGTGGCTTTTGAGCTTTAGAACTCATAGAACATCTCATAGAACATTTAACAAACACCTTCCCTTCATTCCGCTTCTTAAGATTCAAAATCTTCAATTCATCCTACAAAAACAAAAAAAATTACAGAAAGCAACAAAGAAAATCCTCTCTCAACTAAAACTTTCCGAAATTTTTAAACAGTTTCACTCGCCACCACGAAAACAGATTTGAAAATGGTACACAAAACATCAAAGAACTAAAAATCGTTTAGAACTTGGTAAGAAATCCCACATTTTCTGAATAATCATAAACAAAAAGCAAAGCGAGTCCAAACCTTGAATAAACAAGAAACAGAACTGAAGGTTGAAGACGCCATCTTCTACCCCTGCAAAATTTTGAAAAGGAGTGTAAGGTTTCAAGAGACCACAGAAGACGGCCATTTGAATATTATAGAGACTAGGCGCTTAAACCTTCGTTGATTAGATCAAAAGCTTACGCGCGGCTGAACAACTTTCCGCCGCTCTTCCAGACGAATGAATTGAATATAAGATTTCTGTGCAAATTCTCGATCATCTTCTTTTTTATTTTTCTTTTTTTATTTTTTTGATTCGCACGATGACGTGAACTTCCATGTTCTTCCTGTTTGTTTTTTTAGGTTTAGAATAATAATTAAGAATATTTATAATCTTATTAATATATATATATATATATATATATATATATATATATATATTACGGATAAATATACTCCTTAATAAATAATTTTAAAAAAAAAAACTCAACCCAACTCGAAAATAGAGGGTGGTATTTTAGCTATGAACTCTATTTAGATTACTTATGTTACCAACTCAATCAATTCAAAATTTCGAATTTGTTTAATTTATACATACCCCTATATAGAAAATATTTAATAACTTGTTAAATATAGATATTTTTAAAAAATTAAATGATATATTATACACGAGTTCGTGAATTATACTGTCCACTCTATTTTTTAAAATCTATTAATGGTTAGAACAAATTAAATTTCAAATAATACAAAATTAAGATTTTAATGATTTATTATACTTAAAATTCATGAATCAATTAAATATAAAGACGATTTTTATTTAAATTTTTAATTTTACATACAACTTTAAAGCTTTTTAACTTTTGCATTTAAATAAACTAAAAATAATTAATTTTGTTTTATAGACTTTTTTTTTTTAATTATTTTATATCTAATAAATTAAATAGATGTAAATTTTTCCAACTTCAAAATACAAAATTGAAAGAATTAAAATTTTAATATAAAGTTTGTTAAATAAATTTAAATTTTGAATTTTTTTTTGCTTGTCGAATAAATCTTTAAATTTGTCGAATAAATTTTTAAAGTAGTCAAATTTTATATTGAGTATACTTTGACTTCACCTATCGAATATTTTTAAATTTACAATACTTATTACTCCAATTAAGTTTAGATTCTCGAACTATTTAATTTTAGATCTAAACCTATTTTCAAATTTTTTAAAAATGTCAAATATAAAATTCACGCTCTATTTAACATAAAATTTTAAAAAAATATATTTTTATTTTTCAATTTTTAGTGGTCAATGGAATAAAGTGGACAAAAGACATATACAAGTTGGAGTAAAAGTATTGTATAATTTGGATTAAATGTTTGAAATGTCGCAATTTTCCATATTTGACTCACACACATCCATTTTGTCGTGTGCTCAAATTCTACAACCAACAATGACAAACATGTGGCAACTTGTTTCATAAATGTTTTGATTTTCGTTTCTTTCTTTTGTCTCGTTTTTCTTATTTTGAGATTCGAACGTAAATTACTTCATACTTCTAGAGCGAGGCAAAGACAAAGACAAAGACGGTTGGACGTCTGGTAAAGAGATTCTCAATGAAATGATCCAAACCCACCGCTAGCCGATATTGTTTTTTTTTTTTGCTTCTCCTCAAGGCTTTAAAGCGCGTCTGCTCGGGAAGGTTTCCACACCCTTATAAAGGGTGTTTTGTTCTCCTCCCCAACTAATGTGGGACATCACAATCCACCCCCCTTCGGGACCCATCGTCTTTACTGGCACACCACCTCATGTCTATCCCCTTTCGGAGAACAACGAGAAGGCTATCACATCGTCCGGTTTCTGGCTCTAATACCATTTGTAACGACTCAGGCCCACCGCTAGCAAATATTGTCCTCTTCGGACTTTCTCTTTCGGGCTTCCCCTCAAGGCTTTAAAACATGTCAGCTAGAGGAAGGTTTCTACACCCTTATAAAGAGTATTTTGTTCTCCTCCCCGACCAACGTGAGACATCACAAATACTATAACACTGTGTGTATAGCGAACATATATGAAATAATAGGGATATATAAGCATGTCTCATTGAGATGAAAAGTAATGAAGTACTATATGCATCATCAGTCTGTATTATGATTTTAAATGTGAAACCTCATGCATATTTTATGTCAGAAGCATGGAGTACTTTTTCAATATGTTAGGTACGAACGCATACACCACAATATTATACATCTCTCTCTCTTTTTTTTTTGTCGACTTTTAGCGGTATGTGTGTACAATAGCTCGTAGTTAGGCCTAGGGGAGCGTTACGAGCCAGCTTAGTGGGCTCATGCACATTTGCGTGAAATATAGAAGTACACGCATCCAACCCTGCTTGAAAAGAAAAACAGAGCCTAAAAAGTAGTCTCATGTATGGATGACGGTGCCAGCTAAAGAGACCACAAAACGTTAAGTTCATGATAATTTTTAAGATCGAAATGTTTTAAAAAAGTTTCGTACACACAATAGTTATCGGTCAGATATTGTAACGGCTACATTGCATAAACAATCTCACCACTGCTTTCCAAGTCGAGTTCGACGTCGGACTCCAAATCCTCCTCCATGTCATCGTCGATGTCTAAACTCCCGGTCAGATACTGGCCATTCGGGCTCTGAGCTCCGACCGCCTCCACGGCAGCTTCCTGGATGATCTGCATGATTTCTTCGATGGTTTGCGGCGGTTGGGTATCCTCCTCCACAATATTATGAGTGGTTGCAGTCTTCTCCTCCGCCAGATCGGGCGGTAGGTTCTTTGAGAACCATTCATGGTTTCTGATCTCTGGTATTGATATCCTCTGAGTTTGTTTAGATGGGTTTGGATTATTTAATTCATTTGAATTAAGTAAATTAATATTCCATTCAAATTTAAACAGCTTAAAAATGAGAAATAATTATATGTAATTACGAAAGTTTAAATTAATAAAAATATTCATAAATTTTGTATTTTATGTAAAAAAAATAATTTACTTTTAAAAAATAAAATTAATAATATATTTTAAGTATTTAAAAATTACCCCCAATTTATAAATTTTCATTAAGATACTATATTAAATTAATAAAATGTATTAATGTACTTTTTAAAAATTCATTGTATTTTTTAACATGATACCAGTAAATGTATTTTTTTATTTTTTTAAAAAAATTTAACCATATTAATGAAATTTTTTTAAGTTATATTTTTAAAAATTGAAAAGATTTTATTAATTTACTCGACAGAAATATGAAATCAAAGTACTAACCTTGGTTGGGTCAGCAACAAAAATTTTAGACATGAGATGTCGACAATCGGGAGATATATGAACATAGTCGGGAATGGAGTATTGAACATTCAAAATTCTCTACAAAACCAAAACGCTCATATTATAAAGAATACTTCTGACTTTGTCTTAAAAATACTTCTAAAATTTTAAAAGCTTCAATATACTTTAATTTTAAAAAAATTAAAAATTATTCATATAGAAATTAATAATATATTATTTTAAAAATATCTTTAAATTTTAAGATTTTCTTAATATCCTTATTTAAAAAAAATTAATATTAATGTTATTTTTAAAAGTTTTAAATAATTATTTTTAAGAAAAAAAAAATCGAAAGCTCATACAAAATTTTTTAAACAATTTTAAAAAGATTAAGAGTATTTTTTTAAGTAAAATATTAAAAAAAAATTATCTTTTTTAGTATTATTTTTTTTAACTTTTGTAATTTTTTTTTAATAATTTAAAAATATTATACAAACTTTTGAAAGTTCATAGGTATATATATATTTTTGTTATCGTTAATTTAACCTATAAACGGCTCGAACCTGAATGGTTTTGCGAAAATTTTTAGGATCCTCGGGATCCTCGAAAGGGTATGCTCCAACCAACATGACATACAATGTCACCCCACAAGACCAAACATCAGCAATCTGCACTGCAACAACGTTAATTGGATCACAAAATGTCTGATTTTAAGAGAAAAAGAGTAATTTTGTAGGGTTCTTGTTTTTGTTCACCTTCCCATCGTATTCTTTTTTGAGCAACACTTCAGGAGCTATGTAAGCTGGAGTTCCCACGGTCGATTTTGGTTGAGAATGCAACACCGACGACTTTCTCAAAAGCAAAAACAAGAAAATATTGAGTCTATAGACAAACATACCATTAACAATCACGTTGGAGTTGTTCCTCTATACTTCAGTTATTATTGTTCGGTATACTTCGAATCAAAATGCAAGCTACAACGACTATAACGACCATAGTTATTAGAAACATATCGATCTTGAATCATGACCACAAATCGGTCGTGTGATTCAAAGACGAGTACCTTAGAATAGCCGAAGTCGCAGATCTTAAGATGTGGGGCCGGACTTCCATCGAGCAATGTGTTCTCCAACTTCAAATCTCTATGGCAAACTTGCTTTACCCACCAATAAGAAAAAAATCTTAACCCGAATTCATTTGAACTCTAAGAAAACGAGTTAGAGATTTGCATGAGATCATAAAAAACTTACCATTGCATGACAATAACTCACTCCCGATATCAGTTGCTGAAAGAAGAATCGTGCCTGTAACTTAAAGCTTAAGTTGATAGATTACCGTAAATTTAATCTTATATCAACACCAACTATCAAATGATATTAAAAATTTGAAAACATGACAGTGTAGCATCGTGTTAAACTATGATAAGATAAGATTAAAAAACCTCGTCTTCACTGAAACGGCCGGCGTTACAGATCCGCTCGAACAACTCTCCACCGGAGGCATATTCCATGACGATGGCAAGATGGGTCGGGGTTAGAACGACCTATATATATTCACTTATGGTAAAAATATTGTTGCTTTGGTAAATAAGGGTTATTTACACAAATTAGTTACCTCTTTGAACTTCACAATGTTGGGATGTCTCAAAGATCTATGGTTTATTATTTCTCTTTGAACATTTTCATCTATCTGTTCATATCAAATTCATTCATATCATTCGAATTTGAATATCAAATATATAATATCTTAATTAGCTAAATTTTTCGTCCTTAAATAAGAAAAACGAATACCTTGTCACCTCGCTCAATGTACTTAACAGCAACGAGCTCATCGTTGTCCTTGTCTCGCATCAACCTAGCCACCCCGAAGTTGCCCGAGCCAATATCTCGGACGAGCTCGTAGCGGTCACTGGCATGCATGATCGGCACGTCCATGGCTGCCACCGTCCCTCCAGCTCCCGAGCAACCTACCTCGATCCGCCCTCTAAATCAGCTGGGCATTGAGATTATTGTTGAAGGAAAAATGGGTGTTGAGGTTGAAGAAGAAGCAGGTGGTGGATGAGATGGGGTGGTGCGAGCTGTACCAAATAACATGCACCTCGTGAAACCTTCACCAAAAGCTGACCTAATTTACAACTAACTTATTATTTTCCCTCTCTTTCACAATTTTTTTTTTCTTTATTTGAATTTTATGTCGGGAAAGAAATATGGGAAATAATTATAAATAAAATTTAAGGATTAAATTGTAATTTTGTTTTAATAAAGTTGAGAAACTAGAACTATTTTGAACTCTAAAATGACTCGAATTAATTTTTATTTCAAGGTAAAAATATATGATTTTATTTTGAACAAGGGTCAAACAGATGTGTTTTGAGATCATTGTTTTTTTTTTTTTTTCCTTTTTATAAAAAAACAACTCGGTATTTTGGATGACTAAAGGTAAAACTCACGCGGGTTTGAAGTAGACGTGTTTTAAAGCCTTAAGGGAAAGGCTAAAGAGGACAATGTGTATTAAGAACTATTATTTTTTTAATTTCAAAAAACTATTTTGTACCCTTATTATTTTAGGTTAATTGTTCGAACATAAATAAATTATTAAATATTTTAAAAAAATTTATCTTAATATTAAAATAAAAAAATAAAAAATGAACAAAAAATAAAAAAAAAATAAAAAATTGAACCACAAAATATAAACTATAAAATAAAATATTAAACAAATGCAACAATCGTTTCTGTGAAAATGTTATCGTAGCTACAAGTTGAATCTTGAGTATGTGCATAACCTACCATTGTGCAACAAAAGGATTGTATTCAAACAAATGCAACAATCGTTTCTGTCAAGTATAAAAGAGTTAAACAAATAAAATGGATAATTTGAGAGGAGATGCCGGCAGTGCAAAGTATAAATGCTATAACATGCAAAGTCAACACAAGAGAACTGAATTGAAAGGAAATTTGTAGTTACCTGAACAAGTTTTGTGAGCTTTGATTTCGAAAACGAAAGATAGTGATCGATTTTCTCCTGCGTTTGAGGAATATGACCATCCTGCAAGGAGCCTGTGACTTTGTCCACCACTTTCTTGACTATGGTTTTATAAAAATCTTTGCTGATATGACCTTCCTACCATGTAGGTTTTAGAAGTTCCTTGACAAACTCCACAAGTGCAAATTTCATCCTTACTCTTCTTCTTATCATGGACCTCATCGTTTCCATTTGCGTTTTCTGTCGTATCAATCTTTTGAGAGTCCTCATTTGTTGCTGGGTCAGTTTCATTCTTCTCTTTGATAGCATCGCCATCAACTGTTGGCTTCCCATGAAGAGTTTCTTCAGCAGAGATGCCACAGGGACCAGATGATAGAGGCAAATTTGGTATCTGTACTTCACCCTTCACTTCTGTAGTGCTCTTCTGTGGTGTTTTAGTGACTTCAAGTTTCTTCAGCTGTAAGCTATTGCAGAGAGCAGAATCGTGTTGCTTTGAGGATTCAATAACAGGACCTGTCTTCATCGCTGCCCCCAAAGCACCCATGGGTGCGTCCGAATAAGGGAATGAAGGTGCTTCTGACACAGTATGCGTATTAAGGGAGGCATACAATTGAGGCAATGGTTGCGCATTTCCAAAATATTGTGCAAGAGAAGCTGAAAGGTCAGTTATTTGCCTAATTTGATCGTTCGTTACTATGTTCGATGCTTTCATCCTCCTTCTGCAGTTTGACTCTGAAATTTCCATCTGAAATTTTCGGATTCGTTACAGTTCCGTCGGGATGGTCACTGTGATATGCCATTCTTTGTCCAAGGACAACGTTACCCGAAGGATTGCCTTCAGCATGTGAAGCAGCCGTTCTGTCAATTGTAATGTTATCATTGGAAGCTGATGCAATAGTATCATCTTTCGTTCAAGTTTGGTTTTTCTGAAAACGAGTAATATCAACTACTATGGGCTCTATGGCAATGTCTTGATTCTTAGCCAGAGCCTCTTGAACTATCGCATGGCTAATGGCTAAAGCCGTGGAAGTTTGAGAGCCAGAATCTTGCATAACGTTGCAATCGCCTTTCACTACATGATTGGATGGTTGCACAGGGTAGTGCCAATCAGGAGACATCTCCATATCATCACTTGGCCACTTTCTGTGACCTCTAGGGTCAGAACTGCCTGTGCAACCACCAGCATTCTCTGCCTTGCTCGGAATGGCATCGTTCTTGTTGCTTCGCACTGTCTTGGTATCAACAGCTCGATCCCACCGAGTTTTGCTCTCATTATTCAAACCATGATCACATTTTTGATCTGAAGGCCATGTATATCTTGGCTCTTCACTAGCAGTTTGTTCTTTTTTGTCCTCAATCAACTGAGTGAAATCCGAACCACTAGCCAATTCACTCGATTTTAAGCCATCCCACGACTGTTCCCTACCATCTGAACATTGGGCGTGTTCCCATTTATCAGTACTCGACTTCCTCTCTGGACTTGCACGTGGCTGGCTATGATGAGAATACTTGCAATTTTTTCCATTACGACAAGATCCAGCAGCAAAATATTTACAGATAACAAGACTGCTACTGCAAGGTTCACGCTCACCACGTGAGAAGTACGCTTCTTTACTCCGATCATTTTTCCTGTCTCTACTAATATCATTTGGAGAAGCTCGTGATAATTCATGAAATGCACTGTCATGAGAAAACGTGCAAGAGGCTCCCCTATGACACCTTCCCTTCACGAAGTCAGTACAATGAGCAGCTGATCTTCCACTCCTGGGATGGTCCTTAAAATCATGGGAAGTTGATCTAAAGGATCGGCCCCCCTTCCTGTTCCTATTTTCCGAGCTATCGTCCAGATTTTGATCGTCCTGGTGAAGAAATTGACAACCATTACCTCGCCTGCATCTTCCAGAAGTAAAATCTCTGCACAATTGAGTAGAAACACGTGTTCTATTTCTGTTTCTATCGTGAAATCCCGAGTCCCGCTTATTACCATGAGGAGGGCTTCTACTCCTACCCCTGAAACACAATCAAAACAAGCAACTTTAATCGAGAACGAAATTGCAATAGATCATCCCATCCCTTGGAAAAGAACTAACCAATCCTTATAGAAATACATAAATCCAGAAACTCTCGTTCAAATGAATGAACATGTATGCCCACACAAAATTTGAGAGATTTGAACAATTAACATTGTGCTCAAAGGATGAGGAAGTTGATATAAGCTCTTGAAGCTAATACCAGTGTATCTAACCTCACTGACCCGATCCAATCATTTCTATCAGACAGGTTAGAGCCATGACTTCTCCGTCCATCTAGATCAGGGGACATTCTCGTGTCGTAGCTTTTGTCAGCATCACATTCAGCAGTGCCGTCCATATTTTTATTGTAGCCTTTATTAGGGCGGTCCTCCTTAAGCGAAGCTCTGGTTCCAGGTAAAGGTTCCTCCTCTGACAGCAATCCCCAATCTTGCGTAGGTTTCGAAACGGTATTGGTAGTCGCCATACCAGACCACTTGGAACCATCATCACTCGCTATTTCAGCATTTCGAAACGGTATTGGTAGTCGCCATACCAGACCACTTGGAACCATCATCACTCGCTATTTCAGCAGAAATCCAACCAGGTCCTGATTCTTTTCCAGGCCAACTATGGTCTTGTACACTATCAGCTTCAAAGTGAAATCCAACCAGGTCCTGATTCTTTTCCAGGCCAACTATGGTCTTGTACACTATCAGCTTCAAAGTGGGAATCTTCTCTCAAATCCCACTTTGACGAGTGTTTTCGGCCACTTCCACTCATAACTCTTAAGGATTTTCTCCTAAATACAGGCAGGATGAACATAAGTTAATTTTAATGGTGTTTGCTCAAAAGTGAGGGTATCAAAATCAAAAGAAGCTTGCAGGAGAACTTCAAGGAAAAATTATCTGCAGTGCCAGTGTAGAACACCAACTTGTGATCATTGTAAAAGGTCTAGCAAGATATATGATACAACCCTGTCATGATGGGAAGAGAAGATCCGAGGATATATAAACCAATCTGACAAAATAATTAATCCAATAGCACGTCATAAAACCCGACATTCCATTTTAACTGAGATGTAATCAGTATCACACACAAGGAAAACAGTCGAGCATGCACACGAACAAGAGCACAGTAGAACGCTCAATCAAAGACCACACTAATCTGTCACTAATTTTTAAAGCATTTGTGACTTCACCAAAACCGATACAAACTCCCAACACAATTTAGAAAGCCTTCAAAAAACCTAAATGGAAAACAACCATACTAGAGAAGTTGTAGGTTCTTGAGACAGATGGGACGGGATCCTTACAAATTTGCTCCCAGGCAGGTGTATGGTTGGACGTAAATAAAATTTTTCGATGAAACACAAACCGAATGTCAGTATAGAACAGTTTAAAGCTCGCCTCATGGCTAAAGGATTCACCCAGCCTAGGTGAATCCTTTAGCCATGAAACATTTGCTCCAGTTGCCAAGTAAAATATGATTCGTGTATATCTCTCTGTTGCAGCAAATCTTGGTTGTCACTATTTCTACTTGATAAGAGGTGTACATGGACATACCTCTTGGATTTGAGGACAAATATAGCAGTGGAAGGTATGTAAACTCAGGCTTGGTTTGAAAAATTTATAAATATGCTGAAACAAGATGGCTATACCCAGTATCAATCTAGTCACACTATGCTCGTCACTAATCAAACATTAGCTTTGTTGCTAGTGTAGCAAGTTAATTTCTGAACAAACCCTATGAGGAACATATGGAAATTGTGTATAAGATATTGAGATATGTCAAGCACGATCCTCGAAATGGCCTCATGTTCAACACGACTAAAACCAATCTCTAGAAGTTTACATTAATGCAGATTGGGCTCGATTTCCTGTCTCCCTATCACACCAAGGAGCATTTAGGTAAGCATATCCATCCAATAGAGGTTCAAAAACGAAATAACCTATTCACTCTTTCATACTATAGGGAGCCACACATGAATATT